ATGCCATGGCCTCCATCTTGAAATGCCTTCTTTACCATCTCAAAATTCCACATACACTGTGAGGCTAGGCTCAAGTGCCATCTCCTTAATATATTCTTTTCTAGATTTTCCAAAAGAATGTTGCTTTCCTTTCAATGGAAGCTCATGGTATTTTATACTGAAACTCTGATTCCCTTCATATGTTAATAGTGATACTGATGATGTACACAGTACCACTGTTCGAATTTCCATTGAAGAAAAGGATCACAAAATGACTTATCTCTTCATATTCAGTTTCTTCTCATACAATAGTGCCTTACACTGATCTGATATAGAGACTTTATGTTTCTGTATTTTAACATAAGTGCCCACTCTTTTCGCAGCATTTCACAATCATACTAAACAGCAAGAAAACCTAAGGCAGAAAACTGCATCCCTCATTTTTAATTAAGATCAATTTCAAGAGTGAAAATGTTGCACAGGATTTACTATTAAAGCTCAAAGGCATTTAGTATTTAAAAAGCCAAATCGCAGAACATTATATACAGTTAAAATTTCACTGAATCCCTCCTGTATTTGCAAATATTATCAGATTGAACTAAACCAGAGTTTTCATAAAAACTGACATTTTCAAAAAAGCTTTATTTGCATTAATCTTTCTCTTTCTTTTCATAAGATTAAGACTGTAAATGGCAAATGGTTAAATAGGTGCACCAAAATGCTACCTGCAAGGCATTTGGCCCTACACAAATACCAAAATGCCAACTTTGAGGCATCTGGCCTGAAGTATTTATAAATCTGTCTCAGATGTTCTTACTCAAAAAGTCAGAGTTCTTTAGGGAGCTCTTTTATGTTCTTTGTATGAACACTCAATAATATGTAGCTAGAACATTCAATATCACTCAACAAGAATTCTAAAATTCTCTACAACTAAAAGGGTAAATCTTAGATCATACTTAGTCATTTTATTTAGGCAACCCTGAACTTACACATAGTCAGAAGTCCTTTTGACATTTTTAGTAATTCCAGAAGTAAAATACTTACACCAATAGGTATCACATTTGTAAACTAAAAGTCTCATTCTACAAACCAGACTTTTCACAAAAGTAATAATCAGCAGGAAATCTTGTTTTTTGGACTTCCTCTTCTAAAGGTTTTTATTTTATTAAAACAGATAAAAAACAGCTTTGAAGGAAGGAAGGAGACAGAAACATGACTAAAAGTCACTCTGAAACCCTGAAGGTGTGAGAACAAAAAAGTGTTGAGAGTACCTGGAGGATGGAGGCCAGAGTCTTCTCAGAAACAGTTACTAAATATCCAGAGTAAAACCAATCATGACACTTGCTGTAATGAAAGATACTGGTGGCGATAACACTGATCAAATTAGCATACAGCTACAAATATAAAATTCCAACTGTGACACAAGTATTTATCAAGGAGTTTGTGCTAGTTAGGAAAGGCTTCCCAGAGGAAATGACGATTGGTTTATCAGGTTCTGATAAGAAAAGAAAAAACATCTGAGTATTTGAAAGCATGGGACTTCAAAATGGGAATGGCTACTTGGTGACAGAAAAACTGAATACCAAATAAGGAGAGAGTGAGGAAACTCAGATATTAGCTACAGTAAAAAGTCACTACTACCTTAGGCTGGAATGACAGAGGGGAAAAAGTGGTATTAGAAGAGGCCAGGGGGTGAAGTACCAAACAGAAGTTGGAAGCACTGTGGGCCTGTCCTGGGAGAAACAAAGAGCATGGAGGAGAAAGAGCCTCTGCCAGACATGTTGTCCAAAGCAGAGAAGAGGAAAACCTCCCTGGCTTCCCCAGTGCTTCACTTCCTATGAGTGTTTCACTCTGGTCAAACTTGGCTGAAAGCTGGATACCCCTGAAAGCTTGACACACAATGGCAGAGGATAGTCCTCTTAAGGTATGGAGCAGGGAGACCGCCCAAGAACAAACCTGAGGGCAAACAAGCTAACATCTGGCATAAGCAGAGATCTGAAGAATGGGGTGGGTGAAGATATGTGTGGAGGAGTGAGTTGGGGGGAAGGGTACACACATATCAGGATCGTGTAGTGTACAGAGAGTGTGACCAGGTATGACGGAGTAAAAGACAACCAAACCACACATGGTTTGGTTGAGAATGAGAAGCAAGAAAGAGGGCAGGGAAAACAAATAGGAACCAGACCAGGAAGGTTGACTTTGTCACATCAAAGAATTTGTTCTTATCCTAAGAGCAATAAAAAGTCACTGAGGGAGTTGGAGAATATCATGCTAAGAGAGGTAAGCCAATCCCAAGAAAACCAAAGGCTGAATGTTTTCTCTGATAGGTGGATGCTAATCCATAATGGGGGGAGGGGGACGAGTGGAGGAATTTTGGATTGGGCAAAGGGGAGGGAGGGACAGGGAGGGGCACAGGGGTAGGAAAGATGTTGAAATGAGATGGACATCATTAGGCTAGATATGTGCATGATTGATTGAACAAATGGTGTGACCCTACTTTGCATACAACCAGAAGCGAAAAATTGTGCTCCATTTGTGTACAACGAAGAGTATTCTGCTGGCATGTATAACTGACAACAAATTAAAAAAAGAGAGAGAAGGAAAAAAAGCCATTGAGGGACTTAAGTGGGCAATGGACAGACTTAGATCTATATTTCAGAAAATCATTCTGACTTTTTGCTTATAGGACATTGACTGAACAACACAACATACCAGGAATTATACTAGGGGTAGGACACATAGCATTAAAAATACAGCGTATTTGTCTCCCTGTGAAGTCTACCACCAAGTATGTAGCCTGCAGTATTATCAAAGACCTTTTAAGTATTCTTTTAGCATTAATCATCTGATTATCATCAGGGACATGAGGTTTATATTCATAATTCCATAGACTTAGTTCTCAACTAAGTAAATTTGTTGATTATCTATTATTTATTTTTTGTATTTATACATTCTCATTAATCACACCCACCTGTCTTTTCAGCTGAAGAACACTTAATTCTTTTTCCCATCCATTTACTTTTATATGGCTAACTCATTTCCTTGTACCTGGGGGTACATTTTAAGTAAAGTACTGAAAGACAAAATCTGGTTGACATGTGCCTTTGGCCTATCTTAGACCTTACCCTTTTTCTTAAATGATGTGATACTGAGGGGTGCATTAGATATCTTGCAATCATAAGGATAAAACTATATGAGTGACGGAAGATGAAGCCAGGCTCTTTTATTACAGCATTGTAGTGTCTTAAAACTTCAAAGGCACATTAAAATACCAGAGGAATTAAATTTCTTTCATTCTGCATATTCATTACAATTAGTGGTTACATGCACTGAACAAATTTCAACATTTAAAAGGTGAATTTAAACCTGAAGACTATATTTATATAATGATAATGTCCTAAATTCATCATTAATTTAGCATACTTGTTTTCTAAAGAGCTATTTTCTACTCAAATTTGCAATATATCCCAAATTATCAAATCCTATTCTCTGATATTTTGTATTGTCTTGAAAAACTAATTCTCCTCCCTTGAGTTATTAAATTCAGACATAAGTAATTTAATGCCTGAAGACACTTAATGTTTTTGACATTTTCAATGAGTTTACTAAATGCAGTAACCTAGAATTCTTTCTTGAAAACTGTTAATGACATATACTAAGATCTAAAATAATAATTCAAGATGAAGGTCTTGCTAGCCTTTGTTCTAAAGTATTAAAGCTGTCTAATCTCATATCTTTGCAAATATAATAAAGAAAACTGAAAATGCCAACAGCAATGGCAAGTTACAACCAACTCACAGTCAAAAATGTACTTAGACAAAACAACGTGTTTCAATGTAGTTATGTATTTCAATACAAACTCTAAAACTGGATATTTTATTCTTTGAGGAGCTGATTCAAACAGCGGAGATATAACTTAAAAGAAAGTTGGGCAATGACAGTCACCAAATAAAAAAGGAAAACACCTTTAAACCTCTATTTTGACCATGTCAGTTACCAGGGTCAAAATCTTCAGCAGCTCCCACTATTTTCATCATCTCAAATTCTGTGTGCCAGGCTGCCCTCCCTTGCCAGTTTTACTTCTCCCTACTTTCCTACTCTCATCAAAATTACTTTATTCCTTCCAAGAAAATTTCTATCCCCTCTCTGATTTTTATGTAAGGATGTTCACAACAGAAAGAAATTGAAAACAAATTAAAAGTAAAAGGAACATACATAAAAATACCTTGCCATTACATGTTAAAAGATTTAGCAGCATTTTTGACTGTTAACCCTGAAATACTGGGGAGATTAATTAATTAATATTAATATTGGGAAGAGAAAAAAATACATATATATGTTAATTATTTACCTATGATTCAGATTTAGCTGAGCATTGCCTCCAGTGTTTTCTTTTTAGAGGCTTTCCCTGTTATCACCAGATCTAAAAAGCCTCCTTTGTCATAACTTCTAAGTTCTTTGTCATACACCTTTTCATGTATTTTTCTTCCCAGTACTTGTCAATCTCTGGAACTTTGTTCACTTTTTTGGCTTACAGTTTATCCTATAATGGGAAGCTTACCTCCCAGCCAGCTTCTAACTCCCACACCAAACCACTGCCCCATGTTCATATAACAGGTATAGGATCTTTTCTTTTTTGGAATCGTCCCTCCAGCCTCCAGACAGTGCCTACCACAAAATAAGTGCTCCTAAAACACCTGCTGAATGAATGAATGCTGTGAATTCACGTTTTCTCAGGCATTCAGTGAAACTATTTCCTTCTAATCTCTTACTGAAACAATTTTAAAGTTCTCAAATGAAAATCAGTCAGATTTTATTTCTTAGGCAGACAGTCTGAATATTAACTATTTTCACGTGATTTATTTTATTACCAATATTGTACTATTTTAATAAGACAATTAAGAACTGGTCATCACTATTTGCTCATGACTAAAAATAACTATGAATATAAAAATATTAATAAAAATATGCTTAGAGAATAAAACCTTATACAGAAGTAAAATTAAGTAAATCAATTTTACCGTCTTAATAGAACTCCTTTGTTTTTCTTCCCAAACACCACTGCTCAACTCAAGTGTGCAATGAATATTTGCTTCTCTATCATAGGATCCAAAAATGAGTAATCTGCAGTACAAAATAAAACAGGAAGAGCATTATACCGATTCTATGCATTTTTTTTTATTTCTGGTCACTATAATAAGAAATACTTATTCCATTACTATTGTGGTTTATTTACAGGGGAAAAAAACAAGTCAAACCTAACATTTTGTATGCCCTCTAGTGGAAAAGCAAAGTAAACCTAAAATTAGATGAGATAACAAGATATGCTCTTTTTCAACAGCCAAGCCAAACAAGAAAATATTATCCACTCATAAGACACTGACCACATAGCCTTATGTAGTAAGCAAGATTTAGAGATTTTTCAAGACTGTTGATTAAGAATTTTAAAAGTTGCAAAGTGATACAGTACACCAGCTCCACAAGAATTAAATACACAGAAGTATAATACAATTGTTTATAAACAAACACACAACTTCATCTCCTAATGTGAACCTATGCAAATTATTTACTTCTCTAAATCCAGCTGCTCCTGCAGAAAATTTGGGGTTAAAAACAGTACTTACCTCTAAGAATTGTTCTGAAAGTACAAGACAATGTACAAAAGGCATTTAGCACAGTGTTTAGCAAACTCTAAGTGCTCAATGGATGTGTGTAATTTCTATTATCTTGAAAACAATTATCAATGACTGGCAACACCTAATTTCCCTGTTTACTAGGCTGTCTTAAAAAAGAACATCTGAGGTCCAATTATGAAATGATGTAAAAACTGTTTTTATTACTGAATTTAAAAAAAGAGATCCCTTATGTGTCCAACTTCTATTTTACCTATATCCTTAGAATCTTCCAATTTGTTTCAGAACAGTTTTAGCACTAACTAACATTTTGACTGTTACTCTACCACTTCATCTCTACATGAAGATTATAAATAGGAGTGAGATAATTAAGTAGATAAAACACATTAGAGAAATCTGAGAAAACTGTGTCCTGGGTTTGGCAAATCGTGACATCATGTGCATACCTCACAAACTGGCCTTTTCACACACTGAAAAGTCTGAATAAACTTATGTAGAAAAATACCTGATTTAAATAATCCTTCAAGAATCTTACAAGGAGCTTAAAACTTAGCATTTAACAACCTATTACCAAAAAGAAGGCAGGCCAAAAGAACTCATAATTTTAAAATATTAATTTCGAACTACAATTTTCATTCACCAAACTCTGCTGCCACCATCTGTTTAAAGAGTAAACTACTTCAGAGCCTTTACTACCATACAGAGAAAAGAAGGTTGGGCACCACCTAGCGCTCCTAATAGAATTCTCAGAAATTCTCCCTGAATTCATAAGCTATTCCATATTTTCCATAGTGTTTTAAAAATGCTTTTAAAAATAATTACACAAAGCGTAACAAAAATTGACCACAGACCTAAATGAAGAGCTAAAACAAAATTCTTAGAAGAAAACATAAAATCAAACCTTTTTGACCTTGAACTACGCAATGATTTGCTAGATAAAACATCAAAAACATGATCGCCAAAAGAGAAAATAGATAACTTTGGCTTCATCACAATTAAAAAATTTTTTGTAAAGGGCACACCATGAAAATGAAAAGATAACCCACACATTGGGAGAAAATATTTGCAAATTATGTACTTGGTTAAGTCTCCAGTATCCAGAAAAAAATGAAAAACTCTTACAACTCAACAATAAAAAGTCAAATAATCCACTTTTAAAACAGGCAAAAGGATCTGAATAGGTGTTTCTACAAAGATGTACAAATGACCAGTAAAGCACATAAAAAGAAGCTCAATGTTATTAGCCATCAAGGTAATACAAATCAAAACTACTTGAAATGCACTAGAATAGCCATAGTGAAAAAGGTAGCAAGTACTGGTAAGGATATAGAAAAACTGGAATCCTCATACATACTGGTGGGAATGTAAAACAGTGCTGTCACTTTGGAAAACAGTTTGGCAATTGCTTAAAAAATTAACGTATGAGGGGCTGGGGTTGTGGCTCAGAGGTAGAGCGCTTGCCTAGCATGCGTGAGGCAGTGGGTTCGATCCTCAGCACACATAAAAATAAAATTAAAATATTGTGTCCACTTATAACTAAAGAAAAAATATATTTAAAAAAGTTAACATATGATATGATTCAGCAATTTCACTTTTATAGCTATACAGCTGAAAGAAAAGCTTAAAATATTTATATTAACATCAAAATATGCATACGAATGTTCAAAGGAGCATAATTCATAACAGCCTCAAAGTGTTAACAACCAAAATGTCCAACAAGTGATAAATAGGTTAAATAAAACGTGGTATATTCATAAAATGAAATATTTTTTGAAGCAAAATAAAGTACTAGAATATGCCATAATATGAATAGAAAATGCTAAGTGAAAGAGGGTCACAAAAGAACACATACACAGAATATGAAAATTTATAGACAGAGAGTAGATAAGTATGTATAACAAATTATAAGAAGCCATTGTTTATTTATTTTTTCATTATTTATCATTTATTACTTATTTTAGTTTATTTTGGGTACTGAGGATTGAACCCAGAGGTGCTTCACGACGGAGCTATAACCTACTTTCACCCACTCCCAGTTTTTCATGTTTTTGAGACAGGCTCTCACTCAGTTGCTTAGGACCTCACTAAATAGCTAAGGCTGGCTTTGAACTTGTGATCCTCCTGCCTCACTCAATATCCTAAATTGCTAGGATTATAAGCATGTGCCCCTACTCCTGGCAAGAGGCCCTGAATGAACAGACAAAGCTAAATGGAGTTATTCAAAATTAAGTACCACATAATCAAACTGAAACTTTAATGAAGCAGATAGATCCCCAAACACACCAGTTTTTCCTAAAAGCAATACATTTCAGTATATCTGAATCAGTATAATAAGGAAGTTCCCTTAGCTTAACTTTGACAAAAAAGCAATCTGAAGTAACCTGATGTTAATCAACCTTTTTTCCCTTCCATTGCTGTTTCCTTGTTCCCATTTCATTCTTAACAATGAAAACCCACTGTTTTACTACTGCCCATTGGGAACTATAAGGGGTTTTGTAGAAGGGATGTCACCTGCTATTTTGTTGAATAGTTGCTGCCTTGATTCATGAACTGCAAATAAAATCCAATTGGATCTATAACTAAATTTGTTATCACTTTGTTGTCCGACAAACTTCCCAATGTAGACTTAGGAAAAACTAGAGGAGAATGGGATAGTCTGCTAATGAGTATGGGATTTCTTTGAGAGGAATGAAAATGACCTAGAATTAGATTATGATGATGGTTGCATAACCCTGTTACAAATACATTAAAAATCAGTAAATTGTACACTTTAAATGGTAGAATTGTATGGTAGAATGCAATTCAAAGAAAACAAGTAATGAGTGATTATAATAATGAATAATCATTTTTCTGTGATAGGGTCATAATAAGTTTCAAAGATGTTAAAGGATAATAAATGCTTGGTTTACTATTATTATGAATCAATAGTAATATTGCAACAAGATTATATATCTAAAAAAAACATAAACATGATCTTTACCTGATACAGAAATTTGATAATACAACATATTAAAAGGAATCTTAGGACAAAATAAATTCTCAATAGAAATCATTAAAAATATTAAAAAGATAATGACACAAATATTTGAAACTTATCATTATTTGTTTTTTCTTTTTTGCTGTACTGGGGATCGAAACCAGGGCCTCACATATAGTAGGTTAAGTGTTTTACCACTGAGCTACATTCCCCAGCCCACAATTTATTATTCTTAACAATGGATGTTTAAAGCACACAAAACATTATTCATTCTATTCAAAAGTCTTTATTTATTTATTTATCTTTTTTTTAAAATTTTTTATTTTTTTATTGGTTGTTCACAACATTACAAAGCTCTTGACATATCATATTTCATAACCCACTTCAATCTAAGGTATGAAATATTTATTTATCTTTTAATGACAAATATCCCAGCAAATGGACTCTTTCGCTATTACTGACTGCTCCAATCATATGAGTACGGGTTGAATATCTCTTATCTAAAATGCTTGGGACCAGTAGTGTTTCAGGTTTTTCTGATTTTGGAACATCTGCATATACCTTTGAAATGCTTAGGGAATGGAACCCAAGACTAAACATGAATTTCATTTATGTTTTATATACACATTATACATATAAACTGAAGGTATTTTTATACATCATTTTTAGTGTTCCTGAGTTTTGACTGCAACCTGTCAATGAAGTCAGATGTAAAATTTCCCACTTGTGGGTACATACTGGTGCTCAAAAATTTTTGGATTTTGCTGCATTTTGGATTTCAGATTTGAGATGCTCAGCCTGTATTTTCATTGTTTCAGTTAAGTTTATTTTGATGTTTAATGATGAAAATATTTTGTCTGGTTGTTTAGAATTTAGTTTTGCTTTTGTAATGTATATTGATTTAACTAATTGATTTGAAATCAGCTTTTGATTCTAGTCAAAGCATTAGACAACATCTTCACATACATCACATCTTCTTTTTACATTTCTTCTGTTAAAGCACTCAGAAGGAACTGCAACCTTTAGTAAATGTTCAAATACTAGAAAACACCAGCAAACAGTATTAATACTCAATAAAGAAAGTAACATCAGTGCTTCCTAGATAAGTTAACTTCCCTATTGCTGTGGTCTGGATGTTCCCCACAAAACTCATGTTGAAGTCTAAATCTCCACTATGAGGTATTATTAAGGGAGTAGAAACTTAGTCCAACAATAATATTTGAAGGTGGAAATACTGGGAGATAATTAAAGTTAAATGAGGCCAAAAGAGTAGGACCCTGATTAGACGGGGCTCTGGCTTCCTAAAAGGAGAAGAAACTTGAGCTAGACACTCAGTCTTCCTTACTAAGAGATCAATTTTTAGCAACACTGTTTTCGGTCATAAGGCCTGCATCAGAAGTCAAGCAGATGCTAGTGCCATGTTCTTGGACCTCCAGAACTGTGAACAAAATAAACCTCCCACTTCCCAGCCTCACATATTCTATTATAGCAAAAGCAAACGTACTAAGACAATT